GATAATTTTGGGAAGTGATGGAAATGTTCAATAACTTAATTGTAGTTGTGGTTATAAGGTATATAAATTTGTCAAAACATACCAGACTCTGCAGTTCAAATGGGTACATTATACTGAATGAAAACTACACCTTTATAAAGTTGCTTCTTAAAATCCTAACCAGAACAAAAGGTTCCCATTATTATTTCACCAGAGGTCCCAGACCTGTGGGGAAGGGCACTGGGTGCTGGGTGAATGGGGGCTGAGTTGATGGGTGACCCCATGGCTCTGGAGTCCCCAGAGGGGTTTCCTGGGAGCATTAGGATTCTGACACTCATCCCCAGCTGACATCAGTAACCTTCAGTCTGCTGTTCGTCTGAGTTAACGTCTTCACTCATGATTTTAATGTCAAGTGGAAATATCGTGTTCGCTCTAATCCCTTCTGACAGGCTGCACTTTAACTGGACTTAAAGGAGGGAGGGAGGAAGAACAGAGCCGGGAGACTGATTCTCAAATGGGAGGGTTGTTTTATCCCTTCTTTCTCTTTCAAAGCTGTTTCCCTGGTATGTTCCTGGACCATCTTTAAAGATCATTTCCAAATCAGGGAGAATGTGTTCAGCTTTTCATTGGCTCAAGCTACTGGTTCCTCAAGAGACTTTAGGGAAACAAAACAAAGAGCCACATGTCCCTCAGCCCACCCCTTCCAAAGCATCTGAACGTCAGCATCATGGTGTAAGAAAATGGTTCTCAACTGATTTTTGTAAGCACACCTTCTGACTCTGAAATTGTGGGTGGTGCACTTGAAACTCTATTTTAAAAACTTTAAAATACTGAAGTCAGTAACCATGTATGTTAATTTCAGTATAACAGTGTAACACATGCTGATCTTAGTGTAACAATATAACACATATTAATCTCATTATAACAATGTAACATGTGCTGATCTCAGTATGACAATGTAACACATGCTGGTCGCAGTGCAATAATATCTCCCAGCAACTGTGATGCTCTTTCATGGCACATTCTGTTGTCATTTCAGCACCAGGTCACTGGATACTCTAATCCAACTCCCCTAAGAAGCTTAGGAGAGAAAGTTCCTGTGTATTCCAGTTATGAACAGCCTTCATTTTCAGCAACAGCTTAACTTTGGGCTCTGTCCTGTTAGCCACAAGAAAAGCTGTGACATCTTTAGATTGTACCAAAATCATATTTTACACAGTTATGAAAAATTGCCAGTATGAGTATTGGAAATCTTTGGTGATTAGGAAAGAATAAAGACATAATACAGGGGATGGACAGAGATTTGCATCCACACACTTCAACTAAATCTACTTTTTGGTGTTTTTAAGTCAAAAATCTCCATAGAAAATCAGGAAAACTGACAGACAAATAAAATAATAATCACATATTCCCCCAACCAGAGTTAGCCATTATAAACTATTTCTGCATATGTTTTTCCAGGGTGTATTAGCTTAACATAATTGTAATTTATATTATATAACTACATGTTTTAGTATATACAGATTTATATCTTATTCTTTTCGCCTAAGATTGTACTCTGAGAATTTTCCTATACCATTTTACAATTCTTTAAATTATGTTAATTTCTACATATTTATCATCTAAATATTCCAGTATTTATTTAACTAATTGTTGGTGGATTTCTAGATTATTTCTATTTCCTCAGTAGTATAAATAACACACCAACGAAGGTCCTTGTCCATGAGTCTTTGACCAAACATCTATTTCCTTAGGATCAATGCCTAGAAGGTGAGTGACTGAGTCCAAGGGTGTGGACATTTGCAGCTGCCCCTTGGTTTAAAACAGCATCTATCCCTCTTCCTTCTCTCTGAATAATTAGCCCCAGGTAACTTTTGATAAATACCATAGTCATTCTTGGCCTCTGATCCTGGGCCCAGATCACTGAGCATGCCATGCCGAGATTGACATGTGTTGCACTGAGATTAATGTGTGTTGCATTGTTACACTGAAATTGGTATGAGTTACACAGAGATCAGCGTAATCTCTCTGGGCCCACAATTTCATAATCTCTCTAAGCCCCTGATATCTCTAGGCTCTTTCTCCCATCACCTTTGCAGGGGTCCTACCTGGCACTGGGACCCAGCTCCCTTGCTCATGTTGCACTGGCCCTGGCACGACAGCCCCATCAGTGTCTCCCCTTTGATGAGACCCAGCTCATGAGGTCCTAGGAGGAAGGGATGCTTTAAATGCAGGCCTCTCTTCCTCCTTCCCTCAATCCCTCCCCCGCTCTCTCTTTCTCAGAAGCTGCTGGTCTTTGCTTCTCGCCGTGACTCTCGCTGGGCCTGACTTCCCTCCCCACTTCCCACCAAGCGAAGTTACTGTCCCTCAGCGTTCTCGAACCTCACTGTCCCCTTCTGCAAATGAGAATCATTCTGCCTGCCTTATAAAGAAGACCTTTACTCCCTCGGAAACACTTAGTCCACATCTGTCAGATATTCTTCTAGGCTCTGGGGACGCAAAGATGAAGGCGCCTGGCCTTCAAGTGAAGAAAGAGAATCAGAGAGCCAGGAATGCAGAGGACCAGAAAAGCCATCAGTGCTCTTGTTTGGATCCAGGAGCTGGACATCCAGGTGGGACACTGGGCTGTCACCAAGTGGTGGCATTGTCTATTTCTAGTTTAATGTCAAGAACATTTAGTGTATCAACAACCAGAAAAGATTTTGTAGATCATCCCAGCCACGTGACCCTGGACAAGTTTTCAAAGCCTCTGTGCCTCTGTTTTTCTACCTGTAAAATTGTGCAAATAATAGAACATACTCAAGGTTGTCAGGATTAAATAAGTTGCTGGATGCAAAGTGCTTAATACGGTGCTTGGCACATAGTAGGTGCTCAGTAAATGATCATTAGCTATCGATATCTAGACTAACTCCATTATCATCAGAAAAGATGAGAAATTAAGACATGGAAGGGTTAATTAACTTGTTCAAGGCCACACAGCCGGCTACAGGTAAGAGTTGGGACCAGACCCCCAGAGCACTCCTTAGTTAAAATGAATGATATATTTTCTGTCATTTATTGGCAACCTCTTTTGTTCATGAGTCTATTTCAGGCACTGTGAGTTCTTTCCCTTTATCTCACAGTTACTCTGCAAAGACGGTATTATCATTCTCATTTTCCAGGTGGGGAAACTGAGACTTGGACGAGCTGTGTAACCTGTCCTGGGTGCAAAGAAGGCTAAGTGGCAGAGCCAGGACTTGAGCTCAGGCCGCCCGTCTTCAGGCTTATGTGCCCCTGGATGCCACCTGTGCTCTGTTCCACTGGGCCAGGTTTCCAGGAGGCCAAGTTTAGAGGCTTGAGTCTGCCCTTCTTCCCTGGGCAACAGGAGAAAGGCATTTCTGACTAGAAATGCCTTTTTGAGACATGTAGTCATTAGCCAGGCACATTTTCCTCCCAGGCCTCTGCCTTTCTGGGTCAGCACCCTCTGGTCCCTTCAACGTTCATGCCTAGGGGACCAAAAGGTCCGTGGCCCCAGGCAGCACCACATGGCCGAGGTGCTCAGCTGACCCACAGGGCTATGCCCTTCGCACAGGCAGCTGTCACTCACCGCTCAGTGCTGGCCGGCTCTGCCAAGCAGAACAACCGTCCATTGTCTAGATGGCTTTTCACCTGCTTCCCTCTAAGGAGCAGGGTATGAGGAAAGAGGAAGAGGTAGAGGGCGCTGGGGTCCCTGCAGCTGGATTCCATTGTGGAGAAACCCTGAGGCTTTGGGGCAGGATTGCAACTGTTCATCTCAGTGCTGTGACCTTCGCGCCGTCACCTGAAGCTGGCAGGCAGGAGGCATGTGTGCTCTGGCTTCATGGCCCTCAGCAGTGTCACTGCTTCCCCTTGCCCAAGATAAATGACTGTCGTGATGAGGACCTGCCAGCCTCAAAACCTTTGCTCGCACTAATCCCTCTGCCTGACAAGCTCTCCACATCTCTGCCTGCTACTGCCTCCTCCAGGAAGCCTCACCTGATTGCCTCATTGAGAAAATCCATGAATTTTTATTCAAATACCCTGGGCTCAATTTCTGGCCCTCTCTCACCTGCTTGCTCTGTGGTGTCTGCTGTTGTCTCACCTCTCTGACCCTCAGTGTTCTCTTTTTGTGAAATGGGGTATGAGAGGAGGATACCTCACATAATGTGAGTACCTAATGTGTGTATTGCATGCAGTCTCTTTTTTAACCCTCACTTCCACTGCAGACACTCCTGTTGAAGGATATTTCGATTCTTTTGTCACAGATAAAGGCCCTGGGGCCTTGGGAAGTGAAGTCACATGCCAGAGTTCATACATCTGGAAAGTAGTAAAGCCAGAATATAAACCCAGGTTTTTCTGTCTCTGACATTCAGCTACGATTACTCTTCCAGTGATTGGCAGTTGAGGAGCTGTTTCTGACCAAGTGGACAGGGGGCGCAGGGGGCACAGGAGCCAGCCAGATGGAGGTCAGTGACAGTCCTAGGCTGAGGGAAGCTGACTTGGAGGACATAGCTTTAGGGACTTCCTCAGAGACTCCCCACCTCACATCCCACAATGAAATTGACTCCCCCAGACACAGGCAGACTGGAAAATGACATGGGCTTCTCTGTCTACTCCCACCCCTGCGCCCGCTGTGGGTGCCTACCCCTACGAAACCCACCACATGGAAACACAGAGGAACCGCCTTCCATGCAGGCTGGCTCTGAAGGGAGAGAAGGCCTGTGCTGACCATATCCATCCAGCTCCTCCTCCCAAACTCCTGATTGGAGGAGTCCACCCCAGCAAGGAAGATTAGGAGGAACGTGCTCGTATTAACACTGTAGGTGCTCAAGAATTGTGACTTTCTCTCCCTCACTTTTTCCTTTCTCATAAAGGGCATTGCTTCAGGGCTGTGGCTGTGAAGAAGGTGACCCAGCTGTCTCAGGATCAAAGCCAGTTTTTAATCATGATGCCATTGCCAGTTCCCAGTGCCACATTGTGGTTACAAATGGAATAATAGCTCTCTCTCTTTCACCCTGGACTAGGGCTTGGTCACTGAGCACCTGGGACGGAGACCCCTCCTCGTTGGTGACTTTGGGCTAATGGCCCTCTTCTTTGGGACCCTCACCATCATGCTGACCCTGCAGGTGAGATTATGTGCTTGTCACATTTGAGGAAGATAAGCATGGAGCTGGCTTCTGGCTTCATCATTGTGGGGCCTTTGATTCGTGGGTTCATACTTCTACCAGCAGTGCTTGTGATAAAGCTCTCCCTGGGGGCAGCTCATTTCTGGAGCTGCTCAGGGTCTCAGTGAAGAGGGTTTGGTGAGGGGTCCTTGGACTGGGACATGAGAGACCTGACTTCTGGTCCTGTCACTTCCGCTGACAAGTTGTGTGATCTTGGGCAAGACACTTTCCTTCTCTGAGCCTCAGTTCACCCATCTGTGGAATAGAAGAGCTTGCACTAGACCACCCTAAGATGCCCCTTCCAGCTGTCACCGCCCAGCATGAATGCCAGGTGCTGCATATCAGCCACTTCCCCAGTGGTCACAATTTTATAAACAGTGGCTCTGGAGCCAGACAGCCTGTGTGGATCTCGGCTTTTCCTTACTGGTAGTGAAACTTTAGCAAGTCAGCTCCTCTCCAGGCCTCATCTCTAAAATGGAACAGTCAGTCGTCCCTTCGTCCAGGGGTGTTGTGGGATGAAATGAGAAAATGCACAGAAAGCACTTGGAACGAGCACTCAGTGGACGTCCATGTAGGTGGAGGGGTGATGAAGGACTTCATCCTTACAACATCGGTATTTTTTTCTTTTATGGAGATAAGGAAACTGAGGGATAAATATAAATAAAGAAGCTTCCCAAGATTGCACCACCAGAAGGTGGCAAGCTGGGATTAGATCCCCGGATGTTGGGCTTCTGTCCCCTGCATGGCTCAGGGCAGCCTGCATTAATTGAACACTGCCTCAGTGTCTCCAACTCGTCTTGGTGCCATGGGAAGCATGAAGCAAGGTTGCAGCATTGATCAATCTTTGCATTTTTCAAAAATGCATCTGGAAATTGATAGGTGCACATTTTGATCACCTGTCAAATGTCTTAGTGGCCCAAATGTTTCTAGAAAAAGGCACTGTAAGCATGGTGGTGTCTGATGGGTGCCCTTCGAAGAGGTGGGGCTGGCGAGCACGCTGACTGGCAGGAGGTGGAAGCATTGCCTTCAAGGACAATGTACTAGCAGGTGCAGTTCCTTCCTGACAGCCAGGCCCAAGCTGTCCCGAGCCCGGGCATCTTTACAGTCCTCTGAAGTTCTCAGGAAGCTAGCTGGGTGATGTTCTGGGCCATTGTCTTTCTGAAACTTGTGTCAGAAGTTTAAAAGGAAGGCCTGAAGCCCACGAACCCCATCTAAGCCTCACTTCACAAGGTCTCAGAGCTGTTCCTGGCTTGGCCACCTTTGTCTCCCCCAGTGCCCCACACCCTGCCCCCGGCAGCTCCTCAAGGGGCCTGGCAGTTTCCTCTCCTAGGGCTCTTCTGTGCTTGGCTAGCTTCTCCTTGCTTTCTGGACTCAGGAAGCCTTGGACACTCCTGGACACCTCTTCCTGCAGGAAGCCTCCCCTTGCTTCCAAGTCTGGGTGAGGTGCCCTCTCCTGAGTTCCCATAAGCCCCAAGGGGGAACCCTGTGAGATCACTTATCACGGACCATTGACTTTCACTGTTGATGCATCTCTCTCCCAATAGACAGTGAGTGAGTTGTGTAGCGCCATGCCTGAACCATATCTGCATTTCCACCTCCCATCCCAGTGCGTGGCACTCAGGGGCAGCTGAGATCAATCAGTTGAATGAGTGAGTGAGTGACTTGGTACAGATTCTCATACAGCTTACGAAAGTCCACGAAGCTCCTCTCAACCCTTAGAGCTAATGGATTTGGACACACAACAAGGGGAAGTAAGGAGTTCCCCATTCCTCTGCCCTCTGTACCCGTCGTCCTCTACTCCAGACTATTTGCAGTTCACCCCCGCACTGTGCCCTCTCAGACTTCTGTGGCCTTGTGTATGCTGAACCCCCTCCTGGAACCTCTTTCCTTTCCTTTCCCACTGGGCTGACTCTGGCTCAACCTACAGAGGTGAGCTCAGGCTCTTACCTTCCCTTCAAGTCAGGTGGCCTCTCCTGGGGCAGCCCTGGCACCCCCACACACTCAGAACCAGTGACACTGTGTTCTAATGCTCAGCCGTCCAGTCTGCTAGAGCAGGAGCAATCCCAAAACATCCTTTCGCAACCAGCACCAAGCCGCCCACCCCCAGATGAGTGACAGCTTCTCCAGACACATTCCATGAAATGCATTAACTCATCTCACACCTTGCAAGACGGCAGGGGTACAAATACGGTTCTTTATATAATAATACCAGAACTAAGGTAACTTTTTAAAAACAAAATATAGAAGTCTTTAAAATGTATATGAGGAAATATATATACATACATACACACACTTTAAGTTCTGGGATACATGTGCAGAACGTGCAGGTTTGTTACACAGGTATACATGTGCCATGGTGGTTTGCAGCACCTGTGCAGGTTTGTTACACAGGTATACATGTGCCATGGTGGTTTGCTACACCCATCAACCCATCATCTACATTAAGTATTTCTCCTAATGCTATCCCTGTCCCAGTCCCTGACCCCCCAACAGGCCCCGGTGTGTGATGTTCCCCTCCCTGTGTCCGTGTATCCTCATTGTTCAACTCCCACTTATGAGCGAGACATGCAGTGTTTGGTTTTCTGTTCTTGTGTCAGTTTGCTGAAAATGATGAACTTTTATAAATGTGATAAAGCTGTGAAAATTGCTCATATTGCCTGCTGCCAACTAAGCACTCAATCAATGTGAGTTATTGATTTATTTACCACTTCCTGTATGCCAGGACTATGTCAAACTCATCACAGGCTTCATCTGATTTCATCATGGCTATAAAATAAGCAGATGGAATGACTGAAGGGTTGTCATTGTTCCCATGCTATAGACGCTGAAACTGGGGCTTGGGGACATCCAGTGACCTGTCCAAGGTCACACAGATGGGTGGAGGAGGAGCTGGTGTGGGAACTCAGGTCCTCTGGACACACCATCACCTCCTCACCTGACCACTCCCTGTTCTCTCCCAGGACCGTGCCCCCTGGGTCCCCTACCTGAGTATCGTGGGCATTCTGGCCATCATCGCCTCTTTCTGCAGTGGGCCAGGTAAGGCGCCCCTCCCTCCTCACTGCCCCGCCCAGGGGCTCATGGCATCACCAAGCTGGGGAGCTCTCCTCATACAGATGGGGCACCTAGAGCCCAGAGGAAGCAAAGCCTGACTGGGGATGTGTGTCTGCTGCCTTCCTTTTGGCCCGATTGAAATGTAGCCGACTGTCTACAGTCTACCCCACAGAAGGTGAAAACGGGCTCACCTGAAGATGAGTGGGAGATAATATCCCACCGCACAGCAAGAGCAGTTCACATGCGGGAGGGCTCGGAGCCAGAGGCAACACTGGTTTGTGATGAATCAAAGACAACCAAGTCACACAGTCTGTGCCTAAGCAGTTACGGTCTAGGGTGAAAGATGTGGCAATAATCATGGCCATGTCTAAGACATATTAATCATTGATTTTGTGTTATACTTGGCTAAGAACTTGACCTATGTAAGCTCACTTAAGGCTGAGGACAGTTCCAAAGAAGACAGAGATGGAAGGTGACTTGCATGAGTGAGTAGCTGGAGTGGCCTGATTGCCAGGCCCAGGCCCCCACCAACAGCTTACATGGTACCTGCGTGAGTGTGCAACTGGAGTATCCCAGCCTCAGTTTACCCGGGACTCATTTCTAGCCCTGCTGTTTCCTAGCCATGGGTCAGTAGGAGAGACTTCTTCTCTTTGTGAGCCTCAGTTTCCCCATCTGTACAATGACAAGGATGCAATGCGACTGAGGATCCTACCATTCCCTGGCTCTGTGTCCATGTCCAGCAGGGACCTCCAGCAGAGGCCAAGGTCAGACTGAGAAGGGGGGCTTCTCGGTCTTTTCGTTTCTTTCTAGTTGGCACATCAGCTTGGCTGAGGATGAATTAAAAGCATGTTGATTTTTGTGATTGCAGCCATTCCTGCTTCAGGTATTAACTCAATGCAGAGGTCAAGAACAATCTTTGGTCTTTGTCTCCTAAATTCGAAGACCCCTAAATCTTAGCACTTGGTGTTGAAATGAAGTCTGTGCTGAAACATGCAGACATTCACAATTAACTGAGGCAGAGCACGACATGGGAATGACTTCAGAGCTGGAGGGAGGTCAGCTGGCAGATGAGGAAACCTTCCAGGGGCTAAGACAAATTAGAATTAAGTCATCCCAAGTTGGAAAGACCGTAAAGATTTTCTAGTTCAGTCATTTATCAGAAGCTTAAGTCCTAGTCATGGTTTCCCTGCCAGGAATTCCTTCAGCCATGGCTTGATTACATCTATTGACAGGGAACTCACCACCTCACAAAATAGGCAATTCTACGTCCACAGGTCAGATTTGGTCCTGGCCCATTTTGTATGACCCACCAGCCAAGAATGGCTTTTGCATTTTAAAAGGGGGAAAGAAAGAGTGCATGCCAGAGACCACATGTGGCCTGACAAGCTTCATATATTTTCTTTCTAACTATTTTAAACATTTGTCAACCCCTGCTATAGTTCCTTAGCTCTGAAATTTGGAACTGGGAGAGTGGGCTAGCTTGTGAGGTAGGGAAGGAGGAATTTCCAGGCAGTGAGAGCAGCCACTGCCAGAGCATAGAAAGAAGTTCGTGTCAAAGGAACCTTAAATAAACCACCAGGGCCAGAGCAGTGGTGCTCAAACATTGCTCAGTCACCAGGGCTTTTAAAGCCCTGGTTTTCAGGCTGCACCGAAGGGCAACCAGCCCATAATCTTGGAGGGATAGGGCTCAAGCTTGGCATTTTCTAGCGCTGCATGATTCCAAGGTGCAGCCAAGTTCAAGAACCACTGGGCTGGAGCAGTTTTTAAACCCCGGCTGAATCTATTACCATCACCTGGTGACTTAGAAAAAAAAAAAAACAGAGCAAACACGGATATTCAGGCCTCATCCGATGATAGCTGTGTGCCCATCAAGAACCGCTGCCCAGAGTGCAGGGTGAGACACAGAGGAAGAGTCCAGAGATAAGCTAGAAGCAGATCTCAGAGCGTCTTAGATGTTGCACTAGGGATTTGCCGTTTTGCGGAACTCCCTAGAGGTCTGTTGGGGAATCTGTGTGCATGAATGCCACAGGGCAGACCTGCAGCGAGAAGAAACTGGAGGCAGAGACACCCGCCAGGGGCCTGGAGCCGTCAGCCCAGGACAGTTATCCGGGACAATGCCACCCCTGCGAAGGGTCCCATGGGCGTTGCCACTATGATAAGCGCAGGTCATGAGGGCAAGAAAGCGGTACGTTTCTCGGTGTGATTTAGTGCTTCTCGAGTTATCTTTTTTCCATAACAGCTGTTTTCCCAGAAGAAACAGTAAATGTCAGCATTGTATCTGAGTGAAAAGTTGACCTTCTTCCCCACCCATTCACACAAATAAGCCAGATTGGACTCATCCACAAATCTGCCTGATGTTCCTTGCTAACCAAAACCACAAAGCTTAGTCTTCTCTGTTTTTTTTTCCCCCCCAAGCCTTTTCGCAACGATCCTGATTCTGTTCCAATTGTTTGTGACTGTGACTTTCTTTTGACTGTAGAACATGCTGCATTTCCAGGGCTTTAAATGCTGGGCTCCCCATCAGTGTTTATGAGACTCCCTGGAGGGAAGGCAGCCTGCGCCTCCCAATCCCAGATCACCTGTCAGCCCCTGCCCTCCGCTTCCCCAGTCCACCTTCAACCCCCTGTGTTGACCCAGCCTCTGCGCCTCGCTGACTAGCAATGACTTTAGCCACAAGATTGACCAGGGTTTAGAAGCTTCATTTAAACTCACATTGATAGTGTACAGTTTAAAGCCTCAGGGAACTTACCTGTCTAAGGAAAGCTGCCACTTAGACTGTGAGATTATCTTGCATCTTCCTAAGTGGACAGGGAAGAGCGAGTCCCCAGAGGAGCCACCCCGGGAAAATGTGGCAGGAAGATGCTCAGAGCTGAATGGCGGAGAGACTCACTGGCCTGCTCTCCATGATTAAAGAAGAGGGATGGATCTCCCAGAAAGGGGCCAGGAGGCCGCCTGAGGCAGCTTCTGTGAGGAACAGGTCGATGTAAGAAGACTTGACAAGGAGTTGAAATTAAGTGAAAGAAAAGAAAGAAAACAAGAGAGGCAGTTTCCTGCTGCATATTTTATTTGTGTGCATAACCCCAAGGCAGTGGCAGGGAAGTCTAACAAATGAGGCAAAAGAAAAGAGCTTCACCTTTTGAGAAAAGATCATTGCCAAAATGTGTCAATTCCAGCTTTAAAAATAATATGATGCCCTGACTCTGTGCCTGGCACCAAGTTAAGTCCTCTGTGGGGAGTTTGTGTTTCAGTGGGGTGGACAGATGCAAACAAGATGGAGCGGTAAGGCCATTGCCATTATCAAGGTGCGAATTAAGGTCCGAGCACCTCAGAGGATGGAGCGGTCCTGGTGGAAATGCCTTTCTCAGTGCATACCTTGCTTGGCAAAAGGACCCCTCTGTTTATCACATTGATTTCAACTGGAAAGACTGCAGGAGCGTACTAGCATTTGAGGGGACCTACGTGGTCGGCTCTGCCTGCCCTGCCTGCCCTCCCTCTCTATCCCACATTCTCCCTGTGCTGCAGCCATCTGGAGCCACAGGCAGCTGCCCCCCGCCCCAAACACACACACTTCATGGTCCCAGCCTTTACATGTGCTATTTGCCCACTTGCAACAACCACTCTTATTCATCTATTTGAGGTGTGGCTTCTCATCTTCAAAAAGTCAGCTCATACTGCATCGTGAGGCTTTCTTAGAAACAGACAGATAGACCCTCTGGGCTCCCACAGCCCCCTGGATTAACTCCTAGTGTATCCCCCCACCCCTATTACAATGGCCATTGTTGGTCAGTCCTCCTAACATCAGGGACTGCTTCAAAGACAAGAACCTTGTTTCTATCCCCTGTATCCAAACACACAGCCTGACTCTGGGTCAGCAGCCAATAAATGCTTATATTTTTCATGAATTCTTTCAAAACATACTCATTGAGTTCCTACTGTGTGGTGTGTGGTGTTTTCTACCACCACAGCTCACACCAAATGTGTGTGTGTATTCTGACACCAAATACATGTCATTTTTCCACATCACCTCTCCAATTTGTCTCCACCAACAACTGGGTGTCCAACAATTGAACTCAATTCTGACACTGCCTCCCCAGAGCGAGCACAGAGCCTACAAGTTAAAGAGTTCAGTCCCACAGGACTTTCCTCACTTCAGACACCAGCCAAAAATAGAGTCCCAGGGAGCCGGCGCTTCTGCCCTGCTGACTATAAATTCAGGGATTCCCAAGGCTACCCTCAGGTTTGATAATTTGCTAGCATGACTCCCAGAACTCAGGAAAGCGCCCTACTTAAAATTATTGCTTTATTACAGAGGCTACAACTCAGAAACAGCCAAGTGGAAGGGAGGCATAGAGAAGGTATGGGGGTGTGTCAGGGGGCATAGAGCTTTCATGCCCTCTCTGGATACACCAGCCTCCTAGCACTTCAGTGTGTTTACCAACTGGGAAACTCCCCAACCCTGTCATTTAGAGGTTTTTATGGAGGCTCCATTATGTGGGCATGATTGATTCCATTATTGGCCATTGGTGATTGAACTCAGCCTGCAGCCCCTCTGCCTTCCTTGGAGGCTGGAAGATGGAGCTGAAGGTTCCAACCCTCCAAACATGGCCACTGCTGCCTTGAAACCATCTAATGGCCCACCTGAGTCACCACATTAGGGCTTCATTTTAAATGACAAAAGCCACTCTTGTTACTCCAGAAATCCCAAGGCTTTTAAGAAATCTGGGCCAAAAACTAGGGACAAAAATCAAATATATATATTGCAATTTTATATGTGTGTGTGTGTGTGTGTGTGTGTATGTGTGTGTGTGTTATGCCACAGTGCCAGCCCTGGGCTGGGAGCTGGAGATAAAAGCATGAACAAGACAGTGTCTCTATCCCCTATCCCCACAGAGGAAGAGGAGAGGGACAGAAACCAGGTGAGAATGACCACTTAGACATTCTATAGGAGGAAGGGGGCTGGCGTTCTCAACTGCATTGGCTGCTGG